TTTCACTTTTTTTTTTTTTTGTAGTTCGAAATGGGTGATGTCCTTATTGGTGGGAAACCTACTGGTATGCAATTCAGGAAGATTATTATTATATTTATGTTGGATGTTGGATCTTGGATTGGCCATGATGTCTTTTGTTTGTTTCAGGCTTTTGTAAGGATGGATGTTCCGCAATTGTAGATTCAGGAACTTCAATGATAGCAGGTCCAATGGTCTGTATCATTCTGCTTCTTGATATCTAGTTGTGTTGATAAGCGCCTCTTTTCCTTTTATTTTTTTTATTGCAGTGTTTTTTATAAGCTCATAATTTTGTATTTTAAGTGCTTGTAAAATTTTTTTGTCTTCTAAAATGCTTTAATCTACTCTGAACTACCGTCAACCTTTTGGTTAAATGGCAGTATTCCAATTCCTGATACCTAAAGAAGTAAAGCCCTTTTAATTTCAAATCCTTGTAAGTAGGTTTGATTTTCGTATTTTGTGGTTTGTGGCTTTCAGAATGCCATCACAGAGATAAATCTTGCCATCGGGGCTATGGGAATTATTAATGACCAATGTCAGAAAGCTATTGGGAATGTGGGAAACCTAGTCTTTGATATGTTTTCCGCAATGGTAATATAAACAGTTCGTTTTTTCTAACGTTGGAACTTAAATACATGTTCTGGGTTCCTATATCATTTTCTTTTATTTAACAGTTTAAAGAACCTGGGAAGTTATGCTCCCGTATCACAATCTGTGTTCCTGGTGATAAAGCTACTGACGGGTTAGTATTCTAATAGCGAACTTCCCTTTTTCGGTTTGCTCATTTTACATGATGACTCTCTTTCAATTTCCTCTTTCCTTACTTCTTGTAAGCATTTATCTACAAAGATGGAATCATTAATTTCTTTTGTCTGGTGACAATTTGATCCTTTTGCACCGAGTTAATGTCTTATCATGGAAATTTTAATTGATGCACAGTAGTGACATTAGGAGTGTGGTGGATATGAGTGATGGTTTAACTGGACCTCCACAAGTCCCAATATGTAAAGCATGTGAGATTGTAGTAGACTTCTGGCATAAAGTGCTCACAAACAACCTGTCACGAGGTGCCGTCTTAAAATTAGGCACCCAAGTGAGTTCTCTTTATTTGTTTATTTATTTATTTTTAATTTTGACATACGATTTTATTATATAATTATCTCTTAAATTTTCATTAAAACATAAAAGTGATACATAGACATGAGTAGATTGGTGTTTATTTTTGTATGACTCCTCCTCCATTAGCTATGTGCTGTGACGGGTTTAGCCGGAGAGTCAACTGTAGACTGTGCACGACTTCCATTTATGCCTACTATTTCATTTCCCATTGGGGACAAAGAATTTGAACTTTCTCCTAATGAGGTATTGTTTTATGTCATTTTTTCACTATTAGTCAAGCATTTTAAATGTATATAATTATATATAATTTTTTGTAATTGTTTTGTAGTACATAACTAAGATTGGCGAGGGTGCTAGTGCTCAGTGCGTAAGTACCTTCGTTCCTCTGGATAATCCTCCTGAGGTTGGCCCACTTTGGTACGTGTATCTTGTAATAAAGATCATCCGACTAGAGTACTTTAATTCTGATAAAGTGATAATAGATATTCAAACTCATGTTTGACTGTCTTTTCTTGATTCATGTGACGCAGGATACTGGGTGATGCATTTATGCGTCGTTACCACACTATATTTGATCATGGTAATCTCAGAATTGGATTTGCAGAAGCCGCATAAATAAGAGATATTAACCAAAGGTGCTATTACATTGGTTAACGTATTTTCTTTGCTTGTATCTAGTAATATAAAGTGTTACATTTAATACTAGTAATATGATGCCTCATGTGCTTGCAAAATATTTATTAATATATACTGTTCTTCATATTGTTGGAAAATGTAATGTTCAATATTTTAAATAGAGCCTAAACGCACTTGTCTTGTTTTGTGTAAAGCCCTCATTTGGCATCATGGTTTATAATATATATCAAATCTTGTACTTATCGAATGGTTCCACTTTTTGACAATAAAAAAATAAGGTTTGGTCCAATATATACATGACGGGTTAATCACCTACGTTCTTTGTTGTAAAACGAATTGATGGAGTACAAGAAAATGAATCTAAAAGGCAACACTGGTCGTAAATTGTTGTATTAAGTCTTGAAAGTTTATAGCATGCCAAATGCCACACTTGAGCAAGTGCAACCTTAGGTCTCCTTCCCTTTGGTTTAAATTAAGCACCACATTTAGATTATACAACACTTTTGAAATTGATTCGTTTATTGAGTTAGTTCGGACTTCTTTAGTGTTGAATCGGGACCAAAACAAATGAATTTTTTTTTTTTGAAAAAGGCATGCATTTTCTTTGTTGAAATAAAAACAAATGGTTTGCTAAGGTATTTTCTAAGAATCACTTCCTTCGATACAGCATTTAAAATTCAACTTTTGACATTAATTGCAACATGGTTTTCATTTAATCTGAAAATAAGGCAATACTTTACCTATAGATGCAACACTTTTTCTTTTGTTCCTTAACATATAAGTGGAACACTTTTTATGGTTTCTTATAAAACTTTACAAGTATTAGAAATTGATTTTTAGCACCCGGAAATTCCATTCCTTCAAAATAGATACAATAAATTAGTTATATGCATTAATATATTTATGTAAGATATTTTACTTGCATATATATAGCTACACAAATTCAAATACCAAAAGTAATTTACATGTTTCTTCATATGAAAAAAAATGATTCATCCTTTTGAAAGGAATCATTTATGTGTACCTTAAAAGCTCAATTTTATTATAAAAAAAAACTAGAAGCTAGGAAAAAACAGAACTTTATGTGTACATGGTGGTAGTGGGCTAGTGGGGAATATACTTAAAAACTAGTAGGATGCTTGCATACCACTTAGAAGTGAGTTTCACCTTATATACTACATAAATGTTTTAATTTATTTTATAAAATAGTAGAGATGGTCTCCCATTTGTTAGATATGGCACTCTTTTTGGAAATTTAAGATATTTGACTCTCTTTTCTTACTGAAATTATTACGTCTCATGTATCCCATGCCCTTCTCCCTGTCATAAAATTTCACTTTTAACTGATAAATATTTTACTTCTTTTGAAAATACTCAAGAAACTCTGTCTGTTTTTATAAGTTGTAAAAAACCACCACCAATTTGTTGTTTTCCGGCTTTGACCTTCATCGGAGGGGTATTAAACAATGTACGTTGCCAGATTTAGAGAAAATATAGGTATAGTGTTATTATAAGTAAAAAGAATATGTATGTACGTATTTTTGTAATTCCATTAAATTCAATTAATATATTAATTGTCATCGTATAATGAGTGAGATGGCAAACGGGCAACAAGCTGTGCCGCTAAGCCTTTTTGAATGGTAAAACTAATTCTTTTAAATACTACATCCGAAGATCTAGGGGATATAACATTACTATGCATGATTCGTTGTACTCTTTTAAGGAGCTCTACCGCATCCGGTGCGAGGAAACCAAACGTATCAAATGCAAATGGTATGAACACGTGTTGATTTTCCATGCACGATTTCTCATGTTTGGTGACTTTGCATGTAGCTGCTTTTAAAGCAGCATGTCCCGCCGTGAAACCCCCATCCCTCAGGCCCACGAGAGGGGATACCCCTGTAAGATCCACACATGCGTGTTTCCCTCCGACCCATCCAAAAATCAAAATGTCAGCCGGTCTGAGGGTTGACCTTCCTTCTGTCGGGTCAGTCAAGAAATTAACAGGTGCTTCTTTCTTAGCGGAAACCCCGACACGCTTAAATATGTCAAACAAAACATCCCTAACCCTATCGTGCCTGTATTTGAACCCCGGGAGTTCTTTACAGTGAACTGCATGCTCTCCAAAAGAGTCCAAACATGCCTTGCGACACACATGACATATCTCGCCAGCTGGGAATATGGGAATCATGAGTCGATATTTGAGAATAGTACGATACTCCACTGGAGACATGTGTTGGCCAAG